TATATTCACATTTCTGAGCTGAGCAGTTGAATGAGCCGGCCACAGCCACCCCTGCTGACCCCTTAGCTCCGCCCCTGTCAGCTTGGTTTTCCTTTGGACAGATTGTTAGCAGCAGACAGTAGAAGCTGCTTTTGTCTGTTGTTATCATAACCAGGATCAAGCAGGAATTTCTGTTCATGAATCCGTCAACAAAACTGGATTCTTTCTGATATATTTCTACACATTGTTAAGATTGTTTTTGTCTGATAATGTGTGTTGAGATGAGACTGTTGGAAATCTGAATTGCATAAAAACATTGATTTTTAATTTGTTACACTTTTTCAAGTAGAATAAAAATGTTTGCTTTGATGCACAATTCTGGATCAATAATTCTTCCCATTTTTGTTTGCTTCACATCTAGTAAATCTCTAAAGGGACCTACGTTGCAAATGTTTTGTGCTACTATCCTTGGGTAAAGAAAATTAGTTCAAAACCTAATCTGAAGTTTAAACTCTAAAGAAAAGTAGAAATCTGTAACGGTCAGTAAAAAGGTTCTGATAAGATTCCTGTTCCCCATGAATGGAAGTTTACTTTTCAGGTTTCCAGTTGGAAAAAAAAAAAGGAAGCTGCAGTGACATAAGTTGTCAGACCGGATCGGACCCACGTCTGACTCACAGTTCTGCTACCTGTGTCATACATGCTGCAGTGCTGATATAACTCCTCTAAAAACAAGCACACAATAGGCATCATTTATCAACGGCTGACGTCGATTCAGGCATAGAAATCCTCATGCTCAACTTCCCGTTCAAACAATCTGCCGTTGACGAATATGGGAAGTTCCGTCATTTTAATGTCATTTGTTTACAGGTTCTTGTCCCTGCCGTCTTAATTTGCATAAAGGAAGGGCGATAGAAAAGTCTCACTCTGTAAAGCAACACCAACCCGACCGGAGCTTAAATGTGCAGCGGGATAAAGTGAGCTTAGCTCCTTCCTTTTCCGTCTGTCAGTTTTTGTGGCTCTCATCAGTTTAAGTGTCATGTGTCAGTTCTTTTTGTGTATCATGCTTCCAGTGGTGGCATTAAAAACATCCTAAATCCTCTGAACCAACGTCCTCTCCTCTGCTCCTTCACTGCAAAAACTGATCCAAAAATTGGTAACATAATAAATATTTTTTTAGTTCATTAGAGCAGATAAAAAAAAGATGATCTGCCACTGGATTCAGTATATTAGGTCCTTTAAATTAAGATAATTGGATGATATGCACTTTATTCAAGATAAGACTTGTTTTTCTTATTTTAAACGTAAATTATTTTCATTTTGTTGTCAAGTTGTCTTACCTGCATAATCTAGGGGAAATTTAATGAAAAAAATTACTCTCCTATTCTCCACTTTTTGCACAGGTGAAACCTGATAAACAGATTTACTTTCCAATTTTTATTTTCTTTTAAAGTGTGAGCCACTCCCTCCCAGACTGCTCAGCCCACAAAGAAATGAACAATTGATCAGAATCTTAATGAAATCAACTAATAAAACCTAGAAAGCAGCGACAGGGTGGCCAACAAATGACTTCCTGGAGAGTTAAAGCGTTTCACCTGGGAGAGAAGCCTTCGTTAATTTGTAGTGTTTAACTAAAGCGGTTTTGGTTTTGTTTATCCAAAAAAAGTTCCCTTATATTTTTTCTTTGTCCTGTTCTTCCTTCCAGCTCAGGGACCTGCACATGTAAGACAGGAGTGTACGGGACCAAGTGTGATGACTGCCACCCTGGTTTCTTCCACTTCAGCAACACCGGCTGTCGGCCCTGCCAGTGCAACAACCACACCAGCTACTGCCACCCACAGTCCGGTGAGTTTGCAGAAGATGGGGTAGGAAAGGGCTTTAATTCTCTGGGTTTCTCACTTTTTTATCTTCCAAACAGCCAGAACAGATTCTTGTTTATTTAAAACGCCTGCACTGTGCTGCATAATCAACTTTTAGTTATGTTCTAATGTTATATTTTCGTTAAAAATCCAGACCAAATTGGGATTTATTTGATTCATGCTTGTCTGAGAAATCCTCATGAAATCCTGCTCTGTGAGCAACAGCCCCTCCCTGTCCTGGAAAAACCAGTGACCAAAACAGGTCTGCATGAAGCTGTGATTACCCGCCTCCTTCAGGGCCACCGACTTGGACCACGTCATGCCTGCCCTGTAAACAACACGCCCACTTTCTGCAATCAGAGAGCGGTGATGTGAAGCAGAACGCGATCCTTTCTGCACAAAGTAAATCTTTAAGCTGATCTGCACAGTGACAGCAACTGTTCGTTGGTTCATGCTCAAGGTGAGAAAATGTGTTTTTTCGGCTTTTGTTCAGCCTTCCTTAAAAAGAGCATAATGAGCAGAAATGGCAGGTCTAGGATGAGATGAAAAGGGGGGGCCTCACTGGGGGAGATGGTTCTGCAGTGAAGCTGAGAGTCTTACTTCCAGGTTGGATAAAATTTCATAACAATTAAATGCCAAATGTAACATTTCATCATATATCTGCCTATAGTTGAATTTGGAAGAAAAAGCCGGATAGAGAACCTTTTAAAGGCAAATATAGAAACATTTGACTTCATCAACATGTGAACCGCTTGATAGAATCACATATTCAAGAAAACAAAGATCCACATATATACAGTTATGTCTACACTGCAAAAACGATCTGAAATCAAGTACAAATTTCTTAACTCAAGTATATTGAACCTTAATTTGAGCAGGTAAATGAGATAGTTTGCCAATGGAATGAGTATTTTTACACTTAAAATAAGATCATTAGAAAATATGCACTTGAAATAAGACTAAGCAATAGTTTTTTCTTATTTTAAAATGTAAATCGTCTTGTTCCATTGGCAAAGTGTATCACTTACATCCTCAATTCAAGAAAAAATGCACTTAATTTAAGAAAAAATGACTTATTTAGATTTATATTTTTTGCAGTGTAAAGGTTATCATATCTTCTCATTAAAGAAAATGATAAATTCCAACCTGTAATTAAATTAACACAAAACTGGAAAAGCATTGATAGATAAAATGTACTAAATTATTATTTAGTAAAATAAAATATTGATTTTTTTTTTTTTTTTATCTTTAAAAAATATTCTAAAAAAAAAAAAAACAGTCCCAGACAAGTTCCTTGCTCGTGAACGGTGAACTGACATCCCTGAACATTTTCTGAAAATCCCAGAAAACATCTGATTTTAGCGATTGCCTCAAATTGTTGCTGAATAACAGAACATCTGGGACATCATGCCTGCATCCTTCCAGGAGTTGGTGGATGCTTTAGTCCCGGTCTTGGGGGAGATCCCTCAGGAGACCATCGGCCACCTCATCAGGAGCATGCCCAGGTTGTAGGGTCGTACAGTCAAGTGGAGCTACAAACAAAACTGAGCCTCATTTTAAGGACTTTTAAAGCCAAAATACAACATAACATTTCAAAGGAAGGGACAAAATGATCTTTTTCTGTCAACTCTAATGTTTAACCATTGGTAGAAATTTGTTAGACCCTTTTCCAAATCAGACTCCTTTAAAGCTCCAATTGGTTCAAAACATGGAGTTTTAAAAAAAACAATAAAAAAAAATCAATTCAGTTAATAAAAAAGAACAATATTTGTAAAAGAAATGTGAAAATGCTGTTTCCTTTTGCAGCTGATTGACAGGCAGTTCTGTTTTCATAGAGCTTTCTGAGAAGCTGTCAGATTTACCTCAGCTGTTCCAGCTTTACAGCTTCAGCTCTTTTTATTTATTTTCCTTATTTATATAAAGAAGAATAATTGAATTACTGTATATGAAAGGAAATTAAGGCAAATGATTGCGCGTTGTTTCTGTTGCTTATAAGTTGGAAGTAATTTGCTCATCACTTGTTCTGGTCCTTTTACTTTATCTAGAAACCGAATCTGGACTGCTGAACATAAAGATCAACAATCCCTTCACTGGATATTTATAGAGCTAGAACAAATAGAAGCAGCGACACCCAAATTAAAGCCACAGACATTTTCCTCTAACTGCTAACCCACAGCTCCACAGTAATTACAGGATTTACTGCCCACTTTACGGCTTAAAAGGGACGTTGGGAGTAACTACTGGCCGATCGACGTGACGGATATACATAAGCTGTGGCTTTACAAAAGTATTCAAACCCTGTTCTAAAGTTTGACATAATTGGATAGAGGAGGGAGAATGATCAAAATAAAGAATAGTCGAATTGATCTCCTCAGTCCAGCCAGTATCCTCCAGATGAGCAGAACGAGTCAATACGCCTCTGAAGTATTTCATCTCAATATAAATCCAGCTATTCAATCCAATTCAGTTTATTTATAAAGCGCCAATTCACGACACATGTCATCTCAAGACACTATACAGTTCACCAGATCTCACAGTCAAATATTCGGGTTTAGGTTTCAGAAGTTTGTTAATGAAAATCACCTTGTAGATGGGACGACATTATCCATGCATCAGAAACAGCTGTGCAAGTTTTTCTTGCACAGCCCATCCTGATTATTGAAGTTCAGCAAAAGCCTGTTAATCAGCTACCAATGTAAATAAGCTGTGCTGGAGCACAGAAACCTCTAAAACCTGCAGGACAGAGGCCCTCCAGGACCGACTTTGGGGATGCCTGAGCTAGAGGGTTAGAGTAGTTTGTTTGTGCTCTGAGAAGGTTGCAATTCCCCGGTTCGAATCCCACAGCCTCCTCTCTGGGTTCCTGAGCAAGAGCCTTAACCCCTGATTGCTCCCCGGGCGCCGCACAATGGCAGCCCACTGCTCCCCAAGGGGATGGGTTAAATGCAGAGGTAAATTTCTTCAATGTGAGATCAACGAAGTTCAATAAAATAAAAACAAAATAAAAAAACAGGAAGCCATTAGACACCCGGTTTGCAACATGTGGAAGAAGGTGGTTTGTTCAGTTCAGATCTAAAATTTATGGAATGAGGCATCATGGCGGCGTACGGGCGCTTCTCTCCATCAGGAACAGAGACACTGCTTAGAATTGATGAGAGGATGGATGGAGATGCATTCAGGACGTCTGGGCTTTAGCTTTATCAATCGTTTTCTGGTCCTAATTTACTGCTGTGACAACCTGCCCTGATCTTTAATCCAGTTTTCAGCCTTATATAAGATGAACGTATCGCCCCCTCTGTCCTGTGTGTAATGGGGGATTGCTGCTCGCCTACCAGCAGTCAGGCCTTGATGCTTAAGCCAACAACCAGGGGCAGAGAGCAGAGAGGGAGGGGGGCAGAGGGGGCACTGTGTGTTGTGGGGGTGGCACTTTGAGAAGCCATATGTCTTCCCATTCTAAAGCAGGGGCAGATGGAGAGCTGCAGCCTTCTCCTGGGCTCAGCGGTCAATGTGCTGCAGATTAACAAAGCTCAGGTTTGACAGCTCCTGTTAGAACCCGACCCAGGCCTTTTCCCCACGGCTGCTCAGACGGAAACACACGGAGCAAACATGTCCCAAAAGATGTGAACTTCAGGAGACCTCAGCAGGAATTTAATGTGATGTCACTTTGAAAATAATCTCCTTTTGTAAATGAAGTATAAAACAGGAAAATCTTTTTTATTATATTTGTTATTGGGGAATACAGCATGATCTGAAGTCAGATGTAGAGAGATCATTTCCTTTTAGTTTTTCCTACAATTAAAATCAGTCTACATGATCCAACAAATTTAGTAAAGTGCCTCGAGGCAGATGATGTGATCTGGAGCTATTGTATGTAAAAGGAATTCAAATAAATTCCAGACTTATTGAGGCTTCTGCTCACTTTGCAAGGACTGATATATTGGTTTCCATTTTTCAAAAACAGTTTGCTCTGGCTGAAATATTTCATACCTCAATAAATAACTCGGTGCTCCTGGGAAGCCTTCACAGCCTCTGACTACAGCTGACACACAGGATAAAGCTTTTGTGCATTAACCATGCCCAGCAAATTTTTTATTCATGCCACATGTTGTACATGACACCGGCTAAAAGTTCTGCCCAGAGGACGGTTAAAAATATCCTAAACCTAAGAAAGAGAATCGTTCTTGGAGAGTATAAGCTGGCCTTTGGGTTTGTGATATATTGCACACCTTTAAATAAAAAAACTTTTTTATCCAAGTCACTGGTGACTTTATATACCCCCCAAAATACTCTAAACCGAGAAGATAAGACATTTAAGATGTTATTTAGAAGTATATTCCAATTTTTACTGAAATGGTAGAAAATACAAAAAATTGTTTGATCCTTCTACTTGAAATGGACTAATGTGTGTTTTGTAGATTCTCAGGTAAACTGAAGCTTTAAACCTGGCATCCAATGGAAATCCTGTTTTTTTTTTTTTCATCTCTCATCATCACGTCATACCTCCTCCTATCAGTTACTGCTGTTCAGTAGGGGTGGGTATTGCCAAAGACGTCACGATTCGATTCAAATCACGATTCACAGGCCACGATGCGATTCTATCACGATGCATCACGATACTTGAATTATTGCGATGCATTGCAATATTTTCTCCTCCATATTATGTTTTTGAATGACTCGGCGCAGTATCCCGCGGCCGGAAATGCTTGTGACACAAGGCAGCGTGCTTCAACACATCCGCAGCGACATCTACTGGACTGGAAGTTGTATTACACTTGTTTTTGGCTGATGTTCGCCAACCATTCATGCAATTTTATTTATTTATTTTTTTTATTAATAATCGATACTTGGTGTCAAGAATCGATGCAGTAGATCACGAAAATTAGAATCACGATGCATCATCATGACGATTATTTTGCACACCCCTACTGTGCAGTAAAGTCACCATAATTGCAGCTTCACTGATGTCATGCTTTCATTGTAAAATAAATATTAAAACTATTCACATGAACATATTCACATAAAAATAATCCAACACTTGTTTTTACAATAATATTGGGTTATAATAATGCTAAGATCAGGGCTATCTATCTTCCTTATATGTGTCTACAGGTTTCTTCCTGTTAAAATTCAATTATAAAATCAGTTTATTTCTATAGCTCCAATTCACAACATGTCATCTCAAGGCACTTTACAGTTACCAGATCATCCAGTCACATTGATTCAAAGATTTCTATCTAAGGAAAACCAGTTGATTGCATCGACTCATTAACTCTTCATAAATCCCTCACACTAAGCATGCTTGTAGCGACAGTGGAGAGGAAAAACTCCCTTTTAACAGGAAGAAACCTCCAGCAGAACCAGGCTCTGTGTGAGCGGCC